TCCCATCTCAAAAAAGATATATTGGACTTGGAAAAGGTTCAGAAAAGGGCAACAAAAATGATTAGAGGTCTGCAGCATCTGCCATATGAAGAGAGATTAATAAGACTGGGACTTTTCAGCTTGGAAAAAAGACGACTAAGGGGGGATATGATAGAGGTCTATAAAAGCATGACTGGTGTTGAGAAAGTAAATAAGGAAGTGTTGTTTACTCCTTCTCACAAGAACTAGGAGTCGCCAAATGAAATTAACAGACAGCAGGTTTAAAATAAACAAAAGGAATATTCTTTCACACAACACACAGTCAACCTGTGGAACTACTTGCTAGAGGATGTTGTGAAGGCCAAGCCTATAACAGGGTTCAAAAAAGAATTAGATAAATTCATGGAGGACAAGTCCATCAATGACTATTAGCCAAGGTGGGGAGGGATGGTGTCCCTAGCCTCTGTTTGCCAGAAGCTGGGAATGGGTGACGGGGGATGGATCACTTGATGATTACCTGTTCCATTCCCTGTGGGGCACCTGGCATTGGCCACTGTCCGAAGACAGGATACTGGGTTAGATGGACCTTTGGTCTGACCCAGTATGGCTGTTCTTATGTTCTAAGGGTCAGCACCATTATTCTTACCCTTAACCATTTTTTTTTTTTGGTGATACAAAGAAGTGTAGGCGATAGTAGGGAATATGAGGTCCTATGCACATGGTGGGACAGCAGATTTTCCCCAAATTCTACAAACATATTCAGGTTGTGTTTAGCCATCTCATTTGTTTCTACAGCACTTTTATTTCAGAGAGGAAAAGAAAGGCAGGAAGTTGTATTTATGCATGTACAATATTGAGGTTTACTTACAGTAGGGTTACATTGCTTGAAACAAGTGGAACAGATTTTAAATTAACATCTACACATTCTAGTTCAGTTTCTATGCAATCACAAATTTCTGGATACTGGAGGAGACCTAGGGGGGGGAAAAAAGCATTTATGACTGTAACATAGGGATGACTATGATCTGCTTAATACAGATTTGTGTCTTTTTAAGACCTTCCTTCAGAAAAGGAGTGGATATTTATATGGATCACAAGAACATCCAGAGTTATATTAGTAAGGATTAAAAAAAAAAATGGGAAAAGCTATGAACACCATGCTTCAGGGCATAAGCCAACCTTAAAGGGGGATATTAGAAAGAAACTGTCCCCTATTGGCAGATGATTCCATAACTATCTATTCCAGTTTCTTGCACTTGCCTGTGAGGCATCTGATACTGGATGCTATCAGAGACAGGATACTGGATCAGATGGACCGTGTTGGTCTGTTCCATTATGGCATTTCTTACTCCTACCCAACTTTGCTTTATATGAAGATTTTTGATGATGCAAAATGCTGCTTCTACACTCATATCAGTCCTACAATAATGGGCTTTCCTCAATGATAACAGGGCTCTAACGATCAATCTTTTTAAATGGAAGCCAGGCCTGTTTGGTGTGGCTCTTGGTCCCCCTCTGGTGGTAGTTAGGCCAACTAGAGATTGATGAGCCTACTACAATCTTGGCTAATAGCACAGGGAAGGAGGTTAGCTCTGGCAGTAGAGGCTCATATGTTAACCTCCCAAAGGTCAAGGTTTGATTCCTTATAGTGACAACCCAGCCAGAAGGCACAAGTGTGAAATAAACATCATTGGATCTTAGCGCTTTAAAAATTGTGAAAGCGAACACAAAAAGATAGAAGCAAAACTTAAATCATATAAGCTTGTACATATGAAAAGCTAGTATTGGGATGGGTGCTTCAGGGCAAGAGCCATTGTGTGTCTTATAGCTGTACATCTAAAAATTAATACTTTCAGAAATTCTCTGATGAAACAATTTTCATTGAAACATTTTGCAGAGATGGTTCAATTTTGGTATGAGTCTGACAGTACCCAAGCAGGTTTCTGATGTGAATCTGCCTGGTTTCCTGCCAGCTTACCTGTCTGGCTCCTCAGTAGCCCACTTGGTGGGCTGCTGGGGACAGGGCCGGCTCCAGGCACCAGCCCACCAAGCATGTGCTTGGGGCGGCGCCTGGAGGAGGGCGGCGCGGCGGGGTGCTCTGGCCCGAGAGCGGGGCCGCAACTGGGCTCGCCGCCCTCCCCGCGGCGCTCCGGCCGCTGGGGAGAGCGGAGCCGCAGCGAGCTCGCTGCCCTCCCCCCGGCGCTTCGGCCGGTCGGGGAGAGTGGGATCCCGGCCGGGCTCGCCGCCCTGCTCCCGGCTCTCTGGCCGCCGGGGAGAGCGGAGAACCCCGGCCGGGCTCTCCGCCCTCCTCCGGCGCTCTGGCCGGTTGGGGATTGCGGGCCCGCGGCCGGGCTCGGCGCCCTCCCCTGCCGCGCTGGCTGGGGAGCCCTGACTTCCAGTTCTTCAGCAGCCAAATTGGAACGAGACCAAATTTCTAAATCCTCTGCGAAAGAGAATTACTGAATTCTGCACAGTTGTCCTAAAAATAACAACTTGACACAAGTGACCAAATACATTAGCATTTTTCACACTGTGCCCTTCTGCTCCATGCTTGTGTGCATGCAAAAAACTCTGTGCTCTGGAAAACATAGGCAACTGAGCTGATCTAATAGCCTAGAGAGCCCTTTAATAAAGGTTAATACATTCATTTAATGGAATAATTGAGAAGTATAAAATAGATTAAGCATTTCAATCTGATCAATATTAAGTCAAAATGGTAATCAAATTAAAATAGAGAAGTGTATTGATTTTTTTTCATCTGGTATTACTTACAGCACTCCTGTGATATGTCCAGATAATTTGGCTTTCCATGGACCATGTCAAAGATATTTGCTCATCCACTATTATCTCCTATAAAACAGTGTTAACATTAGTCAGCTGCACTATAAATAAGATATCAGCTTGTAAAAGGAAGTGGGAAAGAAAAATATGAAAATTATTACATGAAAATCATCTTGTTTAGAAAGAGGAAGAGAGCCATTGCCGGTTTGGTCAAAATTTCACAGCAGAACATATATCACATAATGCTTCAAAGACTGAAGTTCTCTATCTGGAAAGGACTCTTTCATCCCATGACTCAACTGCCCACTATTTAACTCATTTCTCAACTCTTCTCCCAAAGCCAGATATCATACATTCACATTGGGCTACCAATATACCTTTTTTTTCTGGTATTTCCCATGCCCTACTTCTTTTCTTTCGAAACTATTAAGTTACCTTTTCCATGTTTTCTCTACGTTTTAGTGGGGGATCCAAGATGTATTTCAATGGGTGCTGTGACTGCTCTGCGCCTCTGAAAATCAAACTGCTTATTCAGGTGCTTAATGTTAGGCTCTCAAGTTTGAACGTTTATTAATCAGGTGAAGCAAAGGCTTTCACCATGCTTTATTTAGCTATTTGCAGGCTTTGCTGTTTTTCACTTTTTATTGGAATGGAATGCATTATATTTTGTACATGTCATTCTACAATTTCAATTGTGAAGTAATGACCATGAAACAGATTTTAATTAGTAATGATTGTTGCAGACAACTCACCCTCTCCTTTTAGGATGTTTGACAACTATTGCTTGGGGTCTCTCTGGTTTCTTAACAATAAATTATCATTTAGGGTTAGGTTGTGGCTTTGGATTACATGGTCATGCAGAGGAGTAAGTCAGACTTCTGAAGTGTACCAGAATGTGCAGGATATTTCACACTTTGGTTCAGTTAGGCTGTCTGTTCCAGACCCACGGGCGATATCGATCAAATACCCTGGAAGCCAGAGGGAAAGTGCAATGATTTGAAATCTCAAAAGCCAAAATGAGCTTGCCCCTTTTTCTATGAGTAAGGATACTATGACCAACACAGCCAGTTCAAACTTTAAATTAATATTCCAAAATATGAAGTTAATATAGACTTAATTCTAAAAAATAGTATGCTGAAAAAAATAACTGAATATTGAAATAGGAGGATTAATACAATAGTGCATTTTTATATACTATAGCATAGACACTTGAATGGTAGCTTACAATGAGAATCAATTAAAACCTAAAATGAAGACAAAAATGTTCTAAGGCAAGATATAAAGAGAGAAAACTCAGTGGGAAGACAAAGATTGTATCAGATTCAATAACTGGTGTAGCACAGGTACAAGAATGACCGCAAATTTCAGACAGGCTCATGGAAAATATTGAAAGTAGACCAAGGTTGGAACAGCCAAATTAACTATTAGTGGTTATGTAGGTTATATGAGACTGGAAAGCAAAACGAAGAAAACCCATGGAAAATTTAGAAAGCAAGGAAAACAGTTTTGAATAGAATAAATGGAAGTTAGTGTCATGGGACAAAGAAGACTCCTTACACAGGTGGAGAACTTCAGTCATTGAAGCACTCAGTAGTAACATATGGTGTAATCAGGAGCTGGCAAAGTTAAGACAGGCAGATAAATGGATGGGTATTAGCCAAGGAAGATGTAAAATGGAAAGTCATCTGCACAAATGTCCACATTTAAAGCTAAAGGTAGAGGGAACAGGCTCATGGAGAAGAATAGAGGGAAAAGGAGGAGATTTGAGGCACCTAATAAAATAAGTGATGAAACAGAAGATATAAGACATCCTCTAGAAATGAAACAAGCAATTACAGAGGTAGGATTCAAAACAAGAGATCAGACTGCTGGATGCACTGGCTTCTGATCCAAGATGTTTAAGAGTAGTACCAGAAAGTTCAATAGAATGCCATGTAGACATTGAATAAAATGGGAAGAGAAAGATCCAGGATCAAAGGTAGAAAGAATTTTATTAACCATCTGAAAAAAGGGCAGGCTCCTTGCTCTGATTTACATCTCTTCTAGACTGTGTGGTCATGCAGATGGAGCAGTGTGCGCTTCCCAGATTGAGAAAGGAACTTTCTCATGAAACTCACTGAGACACTATCAAAGTGGAGACATGGCTCTCTCACACACACAAGACAGTTAAGACTCTTGTACCACCTTAGATCATCATACAATGGAAATTCTCTCTTACAGTATCTGGCACTTCCACTGGCAAAGGGTTTAACATAATACTCTCTTGTGCCTGTGAATCCCACCTCCCCAACTCTCTCTCTCTCTCACACACACACACATAAGTTGTTGGGATTCGCTCTCAGGAATGATATATAGTGTTCACACTGCCATCCTCCAAGAGATTTTTTGCTAGAAAAGGGAAGCTATCAAGTGTGGCCAGAGCTGTACAGGAGTTTTACCGGTGGAGGCTGCCTGGGACATGGGTTGAATCAGTGCCTCCTTTAGACAACTTGGCTCACTCTTTCCCGGTGAGAATAGCCCAGTTTTGAGGCTGCACTGGCGGGCTCCAGGCCTTCTGGTTTGCAATTTTCCTCTTTCACAGCAAAAAATAGAAAATAGAAAACAATGTCGGGGTTGGTCCAGGGGCCGGTTTTGTTCAACATCTTTATTAATGATCTGTATTAATTGCACCCTCAGCAAGTTTGCAGATGACACTAAGCTGGGGGGAGAGGTAGATACGTTGGAGGGTAGGGATAGGGTCCAGAGTGACCTAGACAAATTGGAGGATTGGGCCAAAAGAAATCTGATGAGATTCAACAAGGACAAGTGCAGAGTCCTACACTTAGGAAGGAAGAATCCCATGCACCACTGCAGGCTGGGGCCCGACTGGCTAAGCAACAGATCTGCAGAAAAGGATCTGGGGATTACAGTGGACAAGAAGTTGGATATGAGTCAGCAGTGTGCCCTTGTTGCCAAGAAGGCCAACGGCATATTGGGCTGTATTAGTAGGAGCATTGAGAATAGATCGAGGGAAGTGATTATTCCCCTCTATTTGACACTGGTGAGGCCACACCTGGAGTATTGTCTCCAGTTTTGGTCTGCACACTACAGAAGGGATGTGGACAAATTGGAGACAGTCCAGTGGAGGGCAATGAAAATGATTAGGGGGGCTGGGGCACATGACTTATGAGGAGAGACTGAGGGAACTGGGGTTATTTAGTCTGCAGAAGAGAAGTCTGCACTTTCATGTAACTAAGCAGCATAATGGTTGGAGGAAAAGTATGGAATTGTGGTTGGGACAGAAGATGCTCCATGAGAGGAAAATGTATAGCTGATTCCACAGCATAACTTGATATCCCTTCTCAACATCTGGGAGACCCAGAGTGAGGGGCTACTGTGATGGGCAGAACCCCTGGGCAAAGGGCACCGGGATCTGGGAGGGACACGGGGCCAGCGGCACGTGAGACACCAGCCTGCAGAGGGTGCTCCGGGCTGGAAAAATAAAGCTAATTCCCGAGACGTCCAGCAGGAGGCGCGCGCTGGTGAGTCGTCGCACTGCCACACCTGGTTAAAGAATTCAACTTTGAATTGTTTGGGGTCTCCTATGGGATTATCCCGTGCCTCGTAATCAAAATGTCTTCTTCTTTGGTGATTCTTGTATTCTTGAATGGGTGGGAAAATAGCTTCAGTGTGAAGTTCCTCTGCCAACTTCGGTGCACTCTTCAGAACATTTGGAAATCCCTCATCTGACCGGTAAGACTGTAGGTATGACTTTGCTTTGTCCAGTTGTTCCATTGCTCCAGATATATATCAAGATCAACACCTTGGAGTCTCTTGCTTACAACATTTATTTCAAACAGTAAGTCATGCCACAACGCTAAGCCACACAGATATTTGAAATTATGTATGTTTCTGGTGATTCCATTTCCCTCTGCCACTGTTCTCCCACAAACAGTTCCTGTCATAGCATTATCCTCCATAATGGCAACTATGGCATCATCTATCTTCCCAATTTGGTGTTTGATAGGCTTTATTGCCTCCATTCGACTTTCCCATCATGTAGAACTCGGTGGTTTCACTGTAAAGAGAGGATGTTCCCAGATGTTGCTTCAAAATTTGCCATTGATGAGTTGATGCAGAGAAAATACATAGATGCTTTGAATTACATTAAAAAATTCAGCAGCCTCACTAGAAGCTGATGCTGCATCACTGGCCACCAAGTTCAATGAATGAGAACTGCATGGACAAAAAAAAAAGCTTGAGGGTTTAACTCTCTGATCCGTGTCTGCACTCCTCTGTTCTTTCCTCTCATGTTGGCACCATTATCGTAGCCCTGACCTCTCATGCCAGCTTTCGCAATTCCCGTATCTTCCAGCTTTTTAAGAAGCACATTTGTCATATCAGCTCCTGTAGTATGATCAATGTCAACAAATTCTAGAAAATGCTCTCTCACAGTCACTATTGCAGGGACATTTTCACTAGGTTCTGTTGTTGTTACAAAACGCACCATTAAAGTCATTTGTTCCGTATGGCTGATGTCAGGTGTGCAGTCCAGAATAACAGTAATATCTTGCTGACTTCAGATCTGCCACAATCTTCTGTTTGACTTTTGTTGCCAGTAACTGTATGATGTCATTTTGAATTGTTTTCCCAAGGTGGTGGTGTGTGTACATTTATTGGGTGGTGACTCTTCTTAGATGCTCCTGGAGTACAGCATCAAACTCAGCCATCAGCTCCACAATTTTAAGGAAGTTTCCATTGTTTGGCACATACAGCTGATCTGAAGTGCCATGCAATGCTAGGTTTTGGGTAGCAAGCATTCTCACAATGGCAATGAGCCTTTTCAGAACATTTTGCGATTAAAGAGACTCTGATGCAATCTTCTCTTGATGCTGATCATCTATGGTGGCCTTTAACCTTAGTCTCATCTCAACCTCTTTCCACCTATGGAATGCTCTTTGGTGATTTGCTGCCTTCTCATGGCATGCCAGATTTCTAGTCAGATTTTTCTAGTCCTTTGTTCCTGTAGAACCCAATGTGGCTGGAACACTAGACTGGAAGAGCTTGCAACAAAAACAATATTCAGCATTCTAGGT